AGCCCCACCGGGTATAACCCCAAGGGACGGTCCCCCCCCCCGGAACGGACCGAGGGGTCCGCACGTCCCCCCAGGGGTCCCCACCTTCCCCCCCCTCCCGGGTTCCGCCTGCACCGGGGACCAGCCCAGGGGACCCCCCGCTCTCTGCCCGGGGGTACGGCTGTCTGCTGCCGGTGTCACCCCACAACCACCAGCGGGGACCCCCCTCCACCAGCCTGGGGACAGGGGAACCCCTGGGGTCCCCTCTGCCATCACACTGGGGACCCATGGGACCCCCCTCTGCCATCACACTGGGGACAGCGGACACCCATAGGACCCCCCTCTGCCAGCCTGAGGACAGCGGGGGTGGGTCCCGGGTGTGCAGCCCCACCGGGTATAACCCCAAGGGACGGTCCCCCCCCCCGGAACGGACCGAGGGGTCCGCACGTCCCCCCAGGGGTCCCCACCTTCCCCCCCCTCCCGGGTTCCGCCTGCACCGGGGACCAGCCCAGGGGACCCCCCGCTCTCTGCCCGGGGGTACGGCTGTCTGCTGCCGGTGTCACCCCACAACCACCAGCGGGGACCCCCCTCCACCAGCCTGGGGACAGGGGAACCCCTGGGGTCCCCTCTGCCATCACACTGGGGACCCATGGGACCCCCCTCTGCCATCACACTGGGGACAGCGGACACCCATAGGACCCCCCTCTGCCAGCCTGAGGACAGTGGGCACCCATGGGACCCCCTCTGTCATCACACTGGGGACAGTAGGGACCCATGGGACCCCCTCTGCCATCACACTGGGAATCCGTGGGACCCCACTCTGCCATCACACTGGGGACAGTGGGGACTCATGGGACCCCTCTGCCATCTTGGGGACAGGAGAACCCCCGGGCTCCCTTCTGCCATCACACTGGGGACAGCAGGAACCCATGGGACCCCCCTCTGCCAGCACACTGGGGACCCATGGGACCCCCTCTGCCAGCACACTGGGGACAGTAGGGACCCATGGGACCCCCTCTGCCATCACATGGGACAGCAGGAACCCATGGGGCCTCCTCTGCCATCACACTGGGGACAGTGGGCACCCATGGGACCCCCTCTGTCATCACACTGGGGACAGTAGGGACCCATGGGACCCCCTCTGCCAGCCTGGGGACAGTAGGGACCCGTGGGCCACCTCTCTGCCATCACACTGGGGACCCATGGGACCCCCTCTGCCATCACACTGGGAATCCGTGGGACCCCACTCTGCCATCACACTGGGGACAGTGGGGACTCATGGGACCCCTCTGCCATCTTGGGGACAGGAGAACCCCCGGGCTCCCTTCTGCCATCACACTGGGGACAGCAGGAACCCATGGGACCCCCCTCTGCCAGCACACTGGGGACCCATGGGACCCCCTCTGCCAGCACACTGGGGACAGTAGGGACCCATGGGACCCCCTCTGCCATCACATGGGACAGCAGGAACCCATGGGGCCTCCTCTGCCATCACACTGGGGACAGTGGGCACCCATGGGACCCCCTCTGCCAGCCTGGGGACAGTAGGGACCCGTGGGCCACCTCTCTGCCATCACACTGGGGACCCATGGGACCCCCTCGGCCATCACACTGGGGACAATGGGGACCCGTGGGCCACCCCTCTGCCATCACACGGGACAGTAGGGACCCATGGGACCCCTCTGCCAGCCTGGGGACAGCAGGGATCCATGGGACCCCCCTCTTTTATCACACCCGCTCCTGCTGTGCCCGCTCTGTCCCCACCCCACGGGCAGGGTGACACGGGCCACAGCTGGTGGGACCCCCGGGTGACCGTCCCCACCGGTGGGACAGCAGATCCAGGGCCTGGCAGCAGCAGGAAGAGGCAGAGAGGAGGGTGATGTCCCCAGTGCCAGAGCCGGGGACAGTAGGGACCCGTGGGCCACCTCTCTGCCATCACACTGGGGACCCATGGGACCCCCTCGGCCATCACACTGGGGACAATGGGGACCCGTGGGCCACCCCTCTGCCATCACACGGGACAGTAGGGACCCATGGGACCCCTCTGCCAGCCTGGGGACAGCAGGGATCCATGGGACCCCCCTCTTTTATCACACCCGCTCCTGCTGTGCCCGCTCTGTCCCCACCCCACGGGCAGGGTGACACGGGCCACAGCTGGTGGGACCCCCGGGTGACCGTCC